TACATAGGCAACTGCCTTCCAAAGCTGCAACCTAACTAAAATGCAATGCACCAGTTGGGTTCCAAAAGTGACAAATCCTATTTATTTTCTCCATAGGAGAATTGATTTGACCGATATCTTATGAAAAGTTAAAGACAGACCCACTGTGAGTTTAAAGCTGCTAATCAATGCTTTTGATGAAGCCATCAGCTCACATTATTTCAACGTATTATTATTTTTAAAATAATCGTGTTTAATAGCACAATTCCTAGTTGGAAAACTACATTACCAATGATTCATTACCCCCGTAGATGTCCCTGCTTCCATTTCAGAACCAAGGCCGGAAAAAGTGGGCGGACATTGTTGCACTCTATAGAACTTCATAAATGAGTGGTTTGGAACAAACTACATAGGCAGAAAATCTAATACCACTTGACTCGTCTTGCAGTTCATTTCAATAGGGTTTCAAGTTAGTATGTTGCTAAGCTAACAGCCTGACACAGAAATCAGAATCAGAATCAGAAAGAGCTTTATTGCCAAGTATGTTTGCACATACAATGAATTTGTTATAGCGTCACAAGCTTCCAGTACACGGAGACAACAACAACACACAGATAATAAAAATAAGATGTGAATAAAATACACATGCATAAATATAAACCACAAAAAAAAGAATAAATTGTATGTACAGGTGTGCTATAGATAGAATAGGAATATAATAAAATAAAATAAAATAAAGTTGTAGGGATGTACTAGGATTTAGGGTGATAAATAAGTATAAGGTTATTGCACATACTTTAATTGCACAATGGGAGAACATTAACTGTTCATGAGGTAGATTGCCTGGGGAAAGAAACTGATCTTGTGCCTGGCTGTCCTGGTATTTGGTGCTCTGCAACGCCGACCAGATGGCAAAAGTTCAAAAAGGAGATGGCTTGGATGTGATGGATCCAGAGTGATTTTCTGAGCCCTTTTCCTCACTCTGGATGTATACAGTTCTTGGAGGGTAGGCAGGGGGGCACCAATAATCATTTCAGCAGTCTGAACCGTTCTCTGTAGTCTTCTGATGTCTGATTTTGTAGCTGAACCAAACCAGACCATTACTGAAGAGCACAGAACAGACTCGATGATGGCTGAGTAGAACTGCTTCAGCAGCTCCTGTGGCAGGTTGAATTTCCTTAGCTGGCGAAGGAAGTACAACCTCTGCTGGGCCTTTTTAACAGTGGAGTCAATGTGAGTGTCCCACTTCAGGTCCTGAGAGATGGTGGTGCCCAGGAA